TTTTCTCTTAAAGTTTTTTTGAACAAGAAAGAGTGTTACACTGAGATTGAATTTCTTGATTGTGCAAAAGAAATTCGACATTTTAGGGCTGTTTTTGGACTGATGACGGCGTGACTAAATTGCTTGCACAACATAGGCAGAACCGTGAAATGTCTTAAAGAGAGCGACATAGTCCGCGACTCAACCTTTTTTGTTTTGTTTGATTCAATCTAATTTAACAGCTTCCCGAGGTAATAGATTTTATTTTGATTATTTTTCTAACAATTTTCAGTGAGATGGCTTTTAAAAATATTCAACCTAATCACCTAAATATTTTTTATTTTTATTTGTGTCGGTTCTATTCGTAGTTCTTTCAAAATCTATTGGCCAAAGTGCAGCAATGATGATTTGGTTGGCACTTGGTAATAACCGGATGTAATCCACCAGAAATATATTATTCATACACTTGTTGATTATCTGCGTGCAAGCACACCAATATCGCGGCCGACATACTTGTATACAATAATTAGAAGTTAGAGGATTCGCAGTCTTAATCAGTCTAATTCAGTATACATTTTCTTTGGGGTGTTTGGTACAACTGTACTACAACAGGAACACTTATATTGACCACCTCAATGGCTCAACCCCTATATATTATTATATTAGCCAAAGGCTATAAAAATAATATTATAACTCAGTCTCTCTCTCTATGTATATAACACTTTGATTCTGATTTCTGAATTCTCAATTAAGAATGGGAGATATACAGAAAAATATGTCTGAACCTGTAATGTTCTTCACTGAATCAAAACCCAAGACCCAGAAAAATTCAGTCTACGGTGATACCAATTCACCCAGTAGCGATGACCATTCATTAAATGATGAGGATTTTAATCTTCGAGCAGTATCTTTTAGATTGCAAAAAGGTGGAATAGATCTACAGAGTGGATTAAGCATTCAGGAAAAATGTACATGGCTGCGTTCACAACTCATAGGTGACCATGTAGAGTTTGAAACACCTTTTGGCAAACGACAGTTGAGTTATGCTGATCATACTGCATCTGGTAGGTCCTTACACCATATCGAAAACTTCATTATCGAAAATGTTTATCCATTCTATGGTAATACACATACGGATGATAGTTTTGTAGGTCGCCGGACTACAAAAATGGTGCATGAAGCAACTGCATACATAAAGAAATGTTTAGGAGGAGGATCAGAAGATGCTTTATTATTTTGTGGTTCAGGTACAACTGCAGCAATAAAGAGGTTACAAGAAGTAATGGGCATTTCTGTTCCTTCTATTATGAGATCTAGAGTTATGGAATTACGTAGACCTGAAGAGAGATGGGTTGTCTTTGTTGGACCATATGAACATCATTCTAATCTTCTTTCTTGGAGACAGAGTTTAGCTGAAGTTGTTGAAATTGGATTGAATGAAGATGGATTGATTGATATGGAAATGCTTAGAAATGAATTAAAATCTTCAAAGTATGCTAATAGGCCTATGTTGGGTTCTTTCTCTGCTTGTAGTAATGTTACTGGGATTTTAAGTGATACTAGAGGTCTTGCTAGGCTTTTATGTTTCGATTTTGCTGCCAGGTAAAGAGATCAAGCTATCTTCGTATTAATGATGCATGTTAATGAAATTAAAAATCAACTTTTGGAAGAGGGATGATTTGAGATTTGATTTCATGTTATTGCAGTGCGCCTTACGTGCAAATTGATCTTCGATCAGGTGAATTGGAAGGGTATGATGCAATTTTCCTTAGCCCACACAAATTTGTTGGAGGTCCAGGAACACCTGGAATTTTGCTTATGAACAAAAGTCTCTATCATTTGAAATCTTCAGCTCCCTCTACTTGTGGCGGTGGAACTGTCAGCTTCGTTAACGGTTTCAGTGAACAGGTATATTATTATGATGAACAGCCTAATATTTGAATAGTTTTTCATGATATATCCACATTTAAAATTGATGGACTCATCTTTAAATAATTGCAGGATACTTTATACTACGACGACATCGAAGAACGTGAAGATGCGGGAACACCACCAATTGTTCAAAAAATAAGAGCAGCATTGGCATTTTGGGTGAAGGAATACATGGGAAACCACCTCATTGAAACACAAGAGAACCTATGGATAGATAGAGCACTGAAAAGGTTGTTACCCAATCCAAATATACATGTTTTAGGTAACACTTCTGTTAAGCGACAACCAATTCTATCTTTCCTTATCTACACAACCTCATTAGATCATGAGAAGGAGGGTAAGGATCATAGTGGTTATATGTGGAGAGAAAGAGCAACCAGAAAGGATAAACCTCTTCATGCAAGATTTGTGACAAAGCTATTGAATGATCTATTTGGTATACAAGCAAGAGGAGGTTGTGCTTGTGCTGCTCCTTATGGTCATAGTCTCTTGAATGTTGGAAAGGAACAATCCTTGGCATTTCGCGCTGCAATTGAAAAGGTAAATTGTAGGATTTCGTTTCTGTATGTGGTGATGCCATATTGCCATTAACCTTATCACAAGAGATTTGGATCACATTTAACTGATCAAGTCTATAATTTGCAGGGATTCAATGGTATTAAACCAGGATGGACTAGGCTTAGTTTCATCTATTACATGTCCATCATCGAATTCGAATTTATTTTAGCAGCCATTGAGTTTATAGCACTCTATGGCCAAAGGTTCCTCCCACTATATCATTTCAACTGGAAAACAGGAGATTGGACATTCAAGAAAAAAGTTCTGAAAGTTGTCGAAGGAGGGAAGAATGTGTTGAAGATAATCAATAGTTCGAATGCAGGTTGTATGCAGCCAGTAGGCGATAACGCTTACACTCACATGAACCATATTGATACTGGCTCAAGTGCTTCCAGTAGAGACATGGAACAGAAGTACACAATGTACCTTGAAACCGCCCGCAACATAGCTCAGTGTCTCCCAAAGTACCCTTCGCAACGTAAAATACCTGAAGGAGTTGATCCAGATTTGGTCACATTTTTTATCTGATTGAAGCATGTAAATGATTTTTTGTCACAATTCTCTCTCTTTAAAATTGTGTTGACAGAAGAATATATAGAGATTTTTTATTTTTTTTTATGAAGAAGAATATATGGAGATATAACTAGAATTTGTATTATGGAGTATCATTTTTTTTTTTTACAATCAATTACATACAACAAT